AGAAGAAGACAAACTCGCGATGTACCATAGAAACCTTTACTATATAGTCGTTTATTTCCCCTATATTTCCACCGTGCAACTCTAATAAACTCGCAAAGAATGAATTTATCCAAAGTTCTTTTATATATACCCTGTTATCAACACAGTTCTTTGTAATCTTTCCTGATTCCCCAAAGAATCTCTACACATTTCCTCATCGATGGTCTATTCTTCCGGTGCGGAGCCAAACACTGCAAAGATAATTCGAAAATCTTTTCCATTGCAAAGTTATTGGCAGGAGACCTCACCAGCTTTGGATCCAAAGCTAAAACTGCTTCGCCACTTATGAACTTCTTCATAGCCTGCAATTTAGTTGCTCTTATCATAACACAAAAGAAGGATACACATTTTATCAAACTTTACCCATTTTGTTCAAATTAACGCTTAATGGATGTCGTTTATGTCCAGTCACATTCATCAAGCAGGATATATCATACATGCATATATAGACTTACAAGTGTTCTAAATGGAATAAAATTTTTATGCTCCAGAAAATGTTTGGTGATTTTATCTAAAAAAGTGCTCAGAAGATGTTAAAGGAAGCAATTGTAGAACTCGTAAACTTTCTTAGAAAAGTATGGAGGTCCTTGATTAACCTTTATCTTAGGCTATATTTGGTAAACCTAGCTGATAAGCCATCCTATAGCTTTTAAGTGAATTTCGAGCTTATAGTTGATAACTTATGACGCATATGGTTGAAAAGCTATAAAAGTGTTAGATAAAATTAATTAAAATAAAAATTTCAATGGACTTATTGAAAAGCTTCCCAAGGAAGCTTATGAGATAAACTCGAAATTTTTAGAAAAAACTCGTCCTACCAAACCAAGTTTATTTAAGGCTATGTTTGGTAAAACTAGCTGATAGCTGATAAGCTAGCTTATAGCTTATTTGTAATTTTTTAGCTTATAGCTTATAGCTTATGACTTATAACTGAAAAGCTAGCTTATTTGATAAAAGTGTTTGGGAAAATTAGCTGATATGCTAGCTGAAATTAAAAAATCAACTAGCTTATTTGAAAAGCTACCTAAAGTAGCTTATGAGATAAACTCGAGCTTTTTAAAAAAGCCCGTCCTACCAAACGAGGCTTATTTGAATACAGGGAGCTTATAAGCTAATCAAATAAGCTATAAGCTAGCTTATTTGGCTTATTAAACACAGCCTAAATACAGGAAGCTTTTATAAGCTAATCAAATCAGCTATAAGCTAGCTTATATGCTTACCAAACACGACATTAATGATCTTCTCTAGTCTCGGGTATTTTAGTAACATCACTATTGCTAATATAGTAATATGTTCTTTACTTAGTTAACTAGATCTAACATCTTATAATCTCTGAAAAATAGTCCATCTCCTCGTGTCACAAAATCCCCAGCCAATCTAGGTAAATGCAAAGTGAAAAAACAAACACATGTGATAAAGACAGTGGGGAATAATGCATACCCATTTAGTCGTGATTCGCTCCTTGAGCTCACGTTTCGGCTCAATGGGCCTTCGGCCCGTGATAAGCTCAACAAGCAAAACACCAAACGAGTAAACATCACTCTTGTCCGTGAGCTGATAAGTTTTGAGGTATTCGGGGTCTAAGTAACCGGCAGTCCCTTTGACTTGGGTCGAGACATGCGTCTCGCCGGACTCCGTGTCTGCTGCCAGCCTGGCAAAGCCGAAGTCTGTTACTTTGGCCCGTAGGCTTTCAGTGAGAAGGATGTTAGAAGATTTGATGTCTCTGTGGATTATGGGATTGTCTGCATGAAGAAAACAACCCTTTGATTTATGGATATGGATAAGCAAGAAACTTTAGAGAAACTTGAATTTCTCACAATTTGGTAAAAGTAGCTGATAAGCTAGCATATATATCTTATAAGTGATTTTCAAGCATATAGCTGATAGATAGCTTATGACTTATAGCTGAACAGCTAGCTTATATGATAAAAATGTTTTGTAAAATTAACTGATAAGCTAGCTGAAATAAAAATTTTAACAAGCTTATTTGAAAAACTATCCAAAGAAACTTATCAAAAAGTTCGACCTACCATACGAAGCTTATTTGAATACAGGAAACTTATAAGCTAATCAGATAAGCTATAAGCTAGCTTATTTGGTTACCAAATATAGCCTTAGTCAAATTACAAGAAGCTTCAGATATGTCGTAAAACTTAGAGATACGTCCTTAAAAATTTATTTCTATTTATCAAATTGAATCCACATCGTGGCAATTTAAAATACCTTCCCGAACTTTGAGATTTTACACTTTGCCCTCTAAATCTTTACTTTTTCACCCTATCCCCATAACTATACATATGTTCTCAATTCTTACACTACACTACTGCAAAAGGGACATGTGTAATAATGATAACTGTCTGGATTTGATAAAATGTGAATGACTCGGAAAAATAACGGGAAAAACACAAAAATTCTGTAACATCCTGAAAAAATTTAAATACCTGTGTACATATGTAAATATGTGATTGCATGCGCCACATCAATTGCAATGTCTAGCCGTGAAGCAAAGTCAAGAACATTACGGTTAACACCTGCATTAGCAAAACCAATACAATTACTAAAAGATCCATTGGGAAAGAACTCAAAAGGATGCATGCAGGTGAGAAAGAGCTCACAATCCAAGTGCTCCCTAAGGGTTCCATTCGGAACATACTCAACGATAAGAATCCTTTCATCTTCATGCTCCAAATACCCGTAAAGTTTTACCAGATTCAAATGCTCGACTTGCAATAGAGTCTGGACCTCGCTCTGAAACTGAGCCCCTAACTGCTTATCATACATAATCTGAAAATGTGCAACAATACATTCAAAACATATTATTGCAACAACATAAGCTATAAAATATCCTAATTTTATACTGTAATTTGGGCAAGATCGAGGATTTGCAGAAGCTTCTATTTTTAGAAGTGATCTTTTGTTCCAGAAGCGGAAAGAAGTTGAAAATCAAGATAGTGCTCACAAACAGAACTAACAAGTTGAGTAAGAAAGATGTAAAATTAATTAATTCGAGTGTGAAAGTTAAACCAGAGAGAAATGAGAAACATAAAAGGGAAATGTTAGAAAAACATATTTTTCAGGCAAAAAGCCCATGTTATGTAAATACTAAGGATACATGAATTTTTAATCTATCACAATCTAACCTTCTTAGCACGTTTAACTGCAACTAGACTTCCATCACCCAACTGGCCTTTGTAGACAGTTCCATATCCACCCTGTCCGATTTTTAAGCTCGGCGAGAAATTTCTCGTTGCCTTGCGAATTTCATCCATGGTGAATTTGAAAGTCCCAGGCTCTCTCGTGTGAGTTGACTTGTTTGGACTACTATAGATGCCATGATTTGAGATGTGTCTCTTTCCACTTCCAGAATTTGAAACTTATGGGAAAACATGAAAATAGATCAACTTTGAAAACTTGTATCACATGAAAGGTAATGTAATTCTTTTGTTATATGAATAGTTCCACATACTCGCAAATTGCCTAGTCTAAATCTCCAAAGTGTGCAGTTCACTCTAATGCAATGTTTAATCTCAAGAGATTTTCAAATCCATATATAGTTCTATAATAACTCGAGCTCTACCAAATTAAGTTCACACAACTAAACATAACAAAATCAACTACCACATCCTATCCGAAAAAGATTCAACCTTTTTTTGTCCCTATTAACAGAAACTTTATAATCAACTACCATTTTGCCAATTCAAGCCACATTATATCCATTTTTCTTACAAAATGCTATGCAATCTTCCAAGAAATCCACTATCCAATTGAAAAACAAAGGCTAAGAATGAACCCACAAAAATTTTCAGCTAAGATCACATAATTATCCTTTCCCACAACAAAATCTGAGATCCAATTAACAAGTAACTAATCTGGACACAAATCCCCAATTCCAAAAATGGTCATCCCCAAATTAGGAATCAGTCAAATGAAGACAGCTGAAAGAAAGCGTGTCTGTACCGAAAGAATCACTTGTAAAAACATCGTTGGAGCTTTTCTCCGGCTCAGGCGGCGTAAAGCAAGCCACAAAAAAGTTCGCCACCGAGTGAGCGGCGATCTTGGCGGCCGACTTGCGAGAGGAGGTCGAGGCGGGGCCGGAGTACGCAGGGGAGCTCAGGGCCGGAAACGCCGGCGTAGCGGCGGCGGTGGCTGCGCTCCTACGCCGGCCGCCTTTCGCAAGGCTTTTCATGGTTGTGCTTTTTCTAAGTTGTCAGGCTCACTTAAGTGCGTGAGAGAGAGAGAGAGAGAGATGGCGGGCAATTGCAATGAATGGCCAACTTGTGAAACCTGAAATCTCACCCGTCAACGACGGTGACTTTTGAGTTTTGGCTTCTATTTTTCTTTTCTTTAATTTCGTAAAATATAGTGTTATTAATTATTTAATTTATTTATTTATTTACTTATTATCCCACATAAAAATTATGAAAATTAAGTATAGTGTTAATATAGCAAATTATCTTCTTCTCTTTTATTTTTAATTATAATTTTGGTTTCTCAGACATGAACTTCTGTTAAAAAAAATCACTCGGTGCTTTCGTCTGATTTTTTTACGTTGAATCACACATATTCACGCACATATCTACATGGTATGATTTAGTTAAATAGAAAATAATAATAATAATAATAACAATAATAATAAAAATAGTAATAATAATAAGAATTATAAGGGCAATAGACACAATTTTTTTTCTAAGAAACAATGTTGTAGAGTGGTTCGATATAAAATTTTATTCATGATAATCTTATTGAAAAATTGAGATAGAAAGTGAAAAGTAGTATTTTAGAAGGTTGAGATAGATTGGAAAACTTAATTGAATTTGAAATAAAAATTTTAATTATTAAAATTATTTTGATATAAAAAAAAATAAATTATTGATGGATAAAAATGGTAGCGATAAATTTGCTGATAGATTAATATTTTTTCATTACAAATATAATAATAATAATTGATTTTTATCTTTTTAATCATGTTAGTGGAATTACAGAAAAAAAATTAAGTAAATAATATTTTTTTTCATTGTTTCTTCAATGAAGCTGCTGCATATGTGTTAGCTTCATTTCTCATTTCACTCCATTTTATTTCCTTTTAAAGAAAAAAATATCATTTGTAATAAATAATTGAATTATAGTAGCACTTATTACTTACCTTTGAGGCCACTTTTCCATTTGAACACGAAGTAATTATTATTAACTCTGATTAATTTATCATTACATTATGTTAGTCTGTCCGAAACTCCGAATGACCATATATCAACCATATATCCTAATCAGCAATAATCACCAAACCCTGCAATCCTTTTAACTACTTGAAAGTTGAAACGTGGCCAATTTTATTTAATATATTTATTTGTTTTTATTTATTGGAGGAAAACATGAAACGTCAACCATGGTCATATAAAAACTTACTATGGTTCCACTAATAAACGACCCACCAAGTAAATTATTCATCAAAGAAAAAAAAAATCATCATTTTTGAATTTCATCAGATCAGAACTTCGAACCCTAAGCCCCAAAGTTTCTGTCGATTTTCGCCCGCCTCCGCTCGTCTCCGGCCGTTTACGCTTGCCTCTGCCCAGGTTCGGCCAATTCTGTGTCTCCATTTTATGTAATTGCTAATTGTTTGTTATTTTAGTATTTTCAAGTTCAGACATTTAACTTGAAATTTTATCATTTTTTTCTTTTTTCTCAGCGAATTTGATGAAAAATGGACAACACCTATGCCTTCTCAGCTGAAAATATGGATGGAGCAAATGTTGGACAAGATGGCTTATGTGAACTTGAAACTGAAGAGCCCGAATTGAAGCTGCTTGGATCCGAGCGGGCTCCAATACGATCTTCAAATGGTATGGTTGATATTCTCGAGAATAAATTAGCTGTGGGTACAGTTCTTAACAGTATTGAAGATGCGTATTTGCTCTACTGTCAATATGCACATACTAAAGGATTTAGCGTTAGAAAGGGTGATCAACGTTGCTTTCCCCGTAGTGCTGAAATTCAGTAGAAGATCTTTGATTGTTTTTGTGCTGGTTTGAAGGATGAAAAAAGTTCTAGTAAAAAAATTCCTGCTTATCAAAAGCTAGTAACTAGAACTTCATGCAAAGCACAACTTAAAATTAAGTGACCGAAAGGGGGGATTGGCAGGTGAGTAAATTTGTTGTTAAACATAATCATGAAATGTTTGCTCCAGACCAAACTCATTTGTTAAGGTCCACTCGAAATATTTCTCATGCCAAACAATCAACTGTAGAAGCAATGGTGAATGCCGGAATATCTCTGCTAGTGTTGTTTCTTACATGGAGAATGAAGCACATGGGTCCGAAAGTTTAGGTTTTATTCGAAAGGATGCCTGTGATGACCAAATTGGGAGATTAATGAAGCATACAAAAATTGAAAATGGGGATGCTAATGCATTACTTCAACATTTTATAAACAAGGCAAATAAAGAATCATTCTTTTACTGGAATGTGCAGTTGAATGATGACGGCAGGGTGATGAATTTGTTCTTCAGAGATAATAGGTGTGCCGTGGACTACGAGTACTTTGGTGATGTTCTTTCCATCGATACTACTTATAGAACAAAAGTATGATTTGATGTGTGTTTGGCATTAATCACCATATGATTAATGTGTTGTTTGGCTTAGCATTTATGTCGGATGAAACTCAAAGCTCATTTGAATGGTTGTTCACGACATTTCTTGAGTCAATGAATGGTAAACAACCTCAAATAATAATCTCCGATCAATGTGAAGCCATGACGAATGCAATAGAAATTGTTTTCTCGAATTCTCATCACCGTTTGTGTCAGTGGCATATAAATCAAAATGCCCCTTCACACTTTGGGAATTTAAACGGTAATTCATCATTCGAGGCGTTATGGTCTAAGTGCATGTCTCATTGTGAATCCGAGGAAGAGTTTGAGAATACATGAAAATTTATGATAGATTCATATCATTTGCGTGATCATAAATGGTTGAATGACATGTACAAGCTTAGGAGAAAATGGGCTACAGCTTTTAGTAACAAGTTGTTTAGTGCCGGACTCTTGGATACATCGATTAGTGAGAATGCAAATAAAGTCTTAAAGCATGCTGGTAGCAAGAATAGCTTTTTGTACGAGTTTGTTATGAATTATGAAAAAATTCTAAACCAGTGGCGCACAGAAGAGAAGGTTGAAGACACTTGTTGTCGTCATGGCAAACCTTCTGAAATCCTTAAGGATCACCCACTGCTTAATCATGCTGCTAGTATGTACACACTTGCCATTTATGGGTTGTTTGAGATTGAACTTGTCAATTATTTGAATTGCAAATTTGATGACTATCCTATTACTAGTGGTAATGGGGGGGCATCGCCACAGTTTCAAGTTCGAGTAAAATCCCACGGTGGTAGTTCGAGAATAAGGCATGTTTTGATGAACACTCAAACTAATGAGACAAGTTGCAGTTGTCACAAGTTTGAGACCATGGGGATCTTGTGCGAACATGTTTTAATGGTGTTTAACTTCATGGATGTAACTGTGATCCCAGAGGCTTATCTTTTGAAGAGGTGGATGAAATGTGCAAGGTTGAGGGTTTGTAATGAATTCCAGGTTATTGATGGTTCTTGTGGAAGTGATGAAGAATCCGATATTGTTTTTGAGAACAAAGCTATGAGAATGGCCTACCATCTTGTTCACATTAGCAAACCTTATTTGGAGGCACGAAACATGTTGACCACAATGCTCGATGCAGCAAGAGACCAAATTGTTGATCTTATTCAAAATTTAGATCTTGAAAATTCGAGTATGCATGATGATGTTGAAAATGAATATAATGAACAGAGCGTGTTAATACGTAATCCACTTACAGCCAAGTCAAGAGGATTAATGAACGCATGCATAACTCATCAATGGGATAAAAAAAATGAAAAGGGAAAAGGAATATCGAAGGTGCATGTTGGTGCTTCAAGTAAGTTTCTGGTTTAGTTATATTATATTGTATTATTTTTCATTATAAAAAAAAATCAAAATTCTTTTTTTCCTAACTTAATTGAATGTATTTACTTCCAGGTGAAAAGAGATCAGAAAGGAAATTTCAAAGTACACAAGACACTCAAAGTACTTTCTTGTTTAGTTAAATTATATTGTATTGTTTTTCATTATTAAAAAAATCAAAGTTCTTTGTTTTTTTCCTAACTTAATCGAATGGATTTACTTTCAGGTGGAAAGGGATCGAAAAGAAAATTTCAAAGTACAACTCAAAGTCAAAACTCACAAACATCAGATAGTGTTCCACGAACTCAAGTTCCTAACATGCGGCCACCTCAAGTTCCTAATGTGCAGCTACCTCAGTTCCTAACATACCGTTACCCCAATTCACGAATGTGCCGCCTCATCAATTTCCATTTCAAGCTCCACAATTCTCACCTCAATCCGGGTCAAGTCAAACACCTTGGCAATATCCAACTCAAGGGGTAAGTTTTTCTTTCTTGGTAAACGCATCAAAAAAGAAATGTATTTATATTTATATGTTTGTTCTGCAGGGAGGCAATGGAAATATATATTTAGGTGGTCAACTGAATATATTCGGATATCCATTTCCGCATTCATCTCAGGTTTAAGAATAGTTTAATCTTCATGATATATTAATTTTGTCATGGATAAAATAAAATTGATTCAAATTCATGTATTTTTTTGTCTTTAACAGGGCTCATCTCATAAGGAAAAATTGAAATTTGAAGATTGGAGAATGTCTCATTGCAATATTTCGTAATCTAGGTCTATTTGCAACATTTGTTAAGTAATTTGTATTATTAGACTTTGTCTATTTGTAGTAGCAATTTCGACTAATTTGCAATTGTATGGAGATTTGTGGTAACATGTTGGTGTTATTGTTTTATTTGAGTTGGATTATTTTGAAGTAGTGTTTAAGTAATGTTGTAATTTATTTATGGTGGTTGTCTTACGTTGAAATTAGAATTAACTTGCTCTCCTTAATTGTGTGCAAAATGTTTCTCCTTAAGAGTGCCACTGTATGTTTTGCAGGGATGTAATTTGAACCTACTAATGTGAACTAATTTGTAATGTCAAATTAAAAAGAATAATTGAGCATGTTTATGCAAATTGCCTATTTTTTTAAAAAAATACATGTCAATTAATTTTTTCACTAAATAACCTTACTTTTCTTCTTACCTTATAGACATACTATTAAATATCTTGTACCAAATGATTTTCTTGCCCATTTCTGTACCAAACCGTGGCTTTTATATCAACCCAAAATAGGAAACATGTAAATTCCAACAAAAATAAATAAATAAATAAACAAAAAAACAGCACAAAATACAAAAAAAGAAGCTCAACCTAATTTAATCTAAACCAAATAATATATAAGTTTGGCCCAACAAACATATTAACAAGCTCTTAACTATAGTTAAAAAGATGAGTTCCCAACAAACAATACAACCAGCCCAAATAATAATAACAATAAGTTAACAAATTTTCCCAACAATACGTATAAACCAGAAATCAGAAAAAAGATCTCATCCCCTAGAGTTTGTCCCTTTTTCTTTCATGTGAAGTCTTAATCAGTTTGAAAAAAAAAAAAAAGAGAGAGAGAGAGAGAAAGAAGAAGATGGTGAGAAAGAAAAATGAAAATATAAAGGGAGACTATCACGTTTTCTACAGAAAATTTTTGAATTCCATTCTCTGAAAATGTTAAATGACACCATTAGATTACGTTTCACATTCATTCATTCATCTAGGTGCTTATTGATATAATGGTAAAAAAAGAATCTTCAGTTTATATTATTTTTTAAAACACGATATTTTTAATGAATGTATGGAAACTTATAAGAATAGTATGTTTGCATAATAATTAAACCGACCTAACATAAGACTAGATTGATTGTTCGTTCACAAACAGTTCGATATGTTACGTAATTGATGAAAGTTGAAACACATATGAGTGATAATACTCAAATTTGCAATAGCTAAAAAAGAATGTTTGGGGAAAAAAATCTTAGCTACTAAAAATAAAATCTAAAGGGGAATTAATAGCTTTGACATAGGCTTACACATACACAAGGGGAAAATAGAAAATATATTATCATTAAAAACACGATAAGACAATAAAACGAGATGAAAAATGCAATGAACTTGAAATTTTTGTTTAGAGAAATATCTCTATCCCCAAAATCAGTTCGTTTTCATTAGTTTTCGTGGTTAGGAGCAATATCCCCAAAGATAAAAAGATTCACATTTTTTTGGTATTAAAAATTTAAAAAAGAAATAATAATAATAAAAAAACTTCCACATACAAGATAGACAAGAGAATTGGATTGTTACGTTGAATGTTATCATGCGTAAATCTATATAAGATAGAAATTTCTCCTCATGTATGCTAATGCGTGCATAGTATTCATACAAATACACTTGTATAATTCCACGTTTTATGCACTTTTAATTGAAGTTTTGCCGTGGATTATTGTTAAACAAATTTAACGATTATGCACTTATATTTTTTAATGTTATATTGTAGAAAAACAATTTAAGTGAAGTATGAAATTTTACAATATAAGTAAGACGCTTTTATTTAAAAAGTATAACGAATCGTCTCATATAACCGTTCCACTATATTTTTGCATAATTTGTGAGGCTATCGGTAAAAAAAAAATAAACACAAACAATTAAACCAACTCTGAATAAGCTTTAACCACGCCCATTTAATTTTTGAATTAAGCTACTTTAACATAATGTCTTACGAGATGATAAAATGTAATGTGTAAGCTTAATAATTGTTAATTTTTAAATTGATATAATATGTAAAGAAACATAATTGTGGCACTGTGTTAATATGAAACTTTATTTATGTCATAACCTTTACTTTTTACACCACACCAAGTTGCTCTGCAACTTCCCCTTTTCTTGAAGCTTGACTTCTTAAAAAGTTCAAAACCTGCCTTTTTTTTCCCACCACAGCCCCCCATCTTCCCATTATTTGCAAAGATTCCCCACTCTTGCAAAAATGTTGAAAAAGTAACCTCCACTGGCGACATGAAATGAAAACAAACCCTTTTTTTTTTTTTCTTTTTGTTTTTGTTTTTCTTNTAGCTGTGTATTTCAGTCACTACTGAGTTTTGCACTGAAAACATTTTTTGCATTCAAGTAGTTACACTTCTGTAAAGATCGCTGCTTTTTAATCTATTTATCTGAGTATTGTCGTTTTTTCTTCATAGATGCTCTGATTGGATTGTGAAGTTTGTACCTTAAGAAAACATTTAAAAAAAAAAAATGGCATAATATACTCAAAGCTGACTATTTTGGGAAGGTACAATATTTTACTGATACATATTCTGGGTTTTTATTTTCTATACTTGTTTGCTTGTGATTTGGTTATAGAACTAGCTGGCAGCATGATTTGTTGAGAAGATGCCTCAGTTGTTTTTCTTCTTTTGCTGTTTCAATTAAGGGACAGGATTGTTGTGTCTTTCATACCAAAGAACCACTCTAAAATACATTCATTTAGTGACTTTTTTGAATTCTTAACAGGAAGCTAGAGCAATCAATACTTGTTTAGTTTGTACGGCGAGCAGGCTGCTCAGAAAAGGAGATTTAATAGCTCCATAAAGGAATCAAAAGAGAGGTATATGAGAAAAGGATTGTCAAAATTCAAGTTAGTGTAATTTGGTATCACAATTATTTTCTTGCTGGGCTCTTAGAAAATTCAACTTGGATTTTTCACAGCATGTGTTTCAATAATTGATGGGAATTCCTGTTATATTTGTCTCTCTACTTTACCTGAGTTGTTTTTTGCTCATTTCTTATGATAGGAACTGAAACAAAAAATAAAAAACATAAATAAAGGAAGCATCTTTGTCTCTCT